GAAAATAGGAATCCTCTATTTAAATCCATAGGAACCCTATTAAAATTGATCGGACTGTATATAAAGTGAATAGGAAGCATATTAACATGAATAGGAACCCGAGTGGAGTTAATGAGAACCCAATTATACTTGATAGGATCCTAATAAACTGAAGAGGGCCCCTACTAAAATTTATAGGAACCAATGAGACTCTTATAAAAAAAAAGTGTGAACCCCCAAAGAATGGGAGTCCTACTAGAATTAATATAAGCCTAAACCAAAAGGAATCCCTTTCAAACGAATGAGATCCCTATTAAACATTGATACGAATCCCATTAACATGAGTAAGAGCCCTGAAACTGATAGGAATCTTAGTGCATTAGTGGGAGCCTTATTAAAATAATTAGGAACCCTATGAAACTTTTATTGTTTATTGGCATCCTATGAGAATATGTAGGAATCTTTCCTTGAAGTCATAGGAATCAAAGTTTCATAGGGTTTTTAATTATTCTCCTACTAATGTAATAAGATTCCTATCCATTTTCGGGTTCTTATTCATGTTAATGGGATTCGTATTAATTTGAATAGGGATCTCATTCGTTTGAAAGGGATTCCTATTGGTTTACGCTCATATTCATTTAGTAGCATTCCTATTCATTCTTGTTAAAGGAATTATATTTTTTTCATAGGAGTCCTATTAGTTCATATTAATCTTAGTAAGAATCCTTCTCATTTTAGTATGATTCCTATGAATTACCACCGCGTTCCTTTTGATTTGTTAAGGTTCATTCTAATAGGCTTCCTCTTAGCTTTTTTGCGAAACCAATTTGATAGATTGGAATCCTATGAAAATATATAGGAATCCTCTATTGAATTCATAGGAATCCTGCAAATATTTTTCGGAACCGATAAAAGTTAATAGGAAGTGTGCACATGATGCTTGTCGTAGCATCAGGCATGCCGTGAAACATTAGAGTTTAGTTGCGAAAACGCTGCACTGTCCCAAAAAAACAAGATTTTTTTTTGCCAAAAAGTGCAAAAATGCTGTACTGTCCCAAAAAAACCAAAAAAACCAAAGTTTGGAGACCTTGGGCTCCTCCAGGGCCTGGAGGTCTCCAAACTTTGGTTTTTTTGGTTTTTTTGGGACAGTACAGCATTTTTGCTGTTTTTGGCCTAAAAACATTGGTTTTTTGGGACAGTACAGCGTTTTTGCAGTCCCAGGCCTCGAAAGTGCTGTACTGTCCCAAAAAAACCAATCTTTTTAAGGCAAAAAGTGCAAAAATGCTGTACTGTCCCAAAAAAACCAAAAAAACCAAAGTTTGGAGACCTTGGGCTCCTCCAGGGCCTGGAGGTCTCCAAACTTTGGTTTTTTTGGTTTTTTTGGGACAGTACAGCATTTTTGCAGTTTTTGGCCTAAAAACATTGGTTTTTTTGGGACAGTACAGCGTTTTTGCAGTCCCAGGCCTCGAAAGTGCTGTACTCTCCAAACTTTGTTTTTTTTTTGGGACAGCACAGCATTTTTGCTTGTTCTGGCTTAAAAAGATTGGTTTTTTGGGACAGTACAGCGTTTTTGCACTTTTGGGCCTAAAGCATTGGTACAGTAGAGCGCTTTCGTGCTCGCTGGCCTAGGAGGCTTCGAAATCCTAAGCCTCTAAACCCTACCATGGCACCTGAGAGGAAAAAGTGTGGGCATATGGGGGGGGGGGGTACCATATATATATATATATATATATATATGTGTGTGTGTGTGCCTTAAACCCGCCTGTGATTCGAGCTCTAGGCCACTACCCAACGGAGCACGTGGCAGCGCCACGGGTGCCGCCTCCAGCGAGGCAGTTTAGGGTTTGGGGTTCAGGGTTTAGGATTTAGGGAGCAGGATTTAAGGTTTAGGATCTGGGGTTCAGGATCTAGGAGTTCGGGTTTGGTGTTTCGGAGAGATTGGAGCATTTGGGGTTCAGGGTGGAAGGTTTAGGAGCTTAGAGGCAGGGCTTTCAGGTTAAGAGTTCTGGGTTTCGGGCTGTTTTGGGGGTCGACAGGGCTTCGTGTCGACGGGGTTGAGGGTCGCAAACTTCATCACCCCCGCGATAGCCGACGGATGTTAAAACGGTAGGATGTAGCAAAGGGGGAGGGGGTTCACAGGCCGCTGCTTTTCAGCAACCTTCAAGAATGTGGCCCTGTACAAGTCCGCCCTCAAGCCTAGATGCTGTACTACTAATTGCTTAGAACCCACGCCCAAAAAGACAGCACACATAGATAGATAGATAGATATATATATATATATATATTATATTTTTTCCTAGCCAGAACCCGATGAAACCAAAAACGAGCCGTAACCCAATGAAGCTCGGTCAGGCTGGGGGTGTAGGATTTAGGGGTACCCTACAGCTATAAACAGGCTTCTAAATGACGTCAAAAAAGGCGATAACCAGTTAGAATTTAAGTTGCCCTACTTGTGACCCCACTTATAACCAGCCATGAACCTCCATGTAATCCTTGGTTGAGGCATCGACGGGCTCTGCAACTTCACGAAATGGCGCCACTAGCGGCTCGCCTTGGTTCAGCCGTCGGCGTTTTCTGAGGCAGATTTGGAGGTTTCTTGGGGTTTAGGGCTGCAGGATTTGGAGTTTAGGGTTTAGGGTTTAGGGTTTAGGGTTTAGGGTTTAGGGTTTAGGGTTTAGGGTTTAGCTGCAGGATTTGGAGTTGAGGCAGTTGAAGTCGTAGCGCCTGCAGGGTTTCGAGGATTCAGGGCATACTTGCAACAGTTTGCGAGCATCCTGGAGCTTCTAGGGCCTAGGGTTCAGGGTTTAGGGTTTAATTAGGGTTTAGGGTCTAGGGTTTAGGGTTTAGGGTTTAGGGTTTAGGGTTTAGGGTTTAGGGTTTAGGGTTTAGGGTTTAGGGTTTAGGGTTTAGGGTTTAGGGTTCCAAGCAGCTCAGCGCGCGGAACCTTTGCAGACGTGGACAGAGTTCACCGAGTGGAAAAGCAGGCCACAGTAGATGAAGAAAGCCGCTAAGGCATGAAAGGCACACCCCAAACTCCCCACCCCAAACAGGGGTTGAACTACCCGAAACAGGTCCTGATTGTAGTCTAAACCCTAAAACCTAAACCCTAAACCCTAAACCCTAAACCCTAAACCCTAAACCTATACACTACACTCGAAAGCCTAAGCCATGCGGCCTACTCCTCTGGCCTGCCTGGGTCCATTGTTCTAGGTGCCCGGCGAACTGCCGAGGAAAGCGGCTCCCCCAAATACCTTCTTGGGTTTAGGGTTTAGGGTTTAGGGTTTAGGGTTTAGAGTTTAGGGTTTAGGAGTTGGGGTTTAGGGTTTAGGGTGTAGGGTGGAGGGTTTCGGTTTAGGGCTGGGAACTGAATCGGATCCCCAGCTCACCCAGATACCTGCTTGGGTTTAGGTTTAGGGCTGGGCATTGAATCGGATCCGCAGTAACCTATAGGCAAACAGAAAAGCTCACGGCCTTTTGCAAAGGAGCCTCGCCACCACAAAACAAGGGAGAAACACAAAGAATGTCACGAGGGGACGCCCATACAGGGGACTACGAAATTAGAGTGAGTACTTTGGGGTAGTTTGCAGAATATCTTGGTAACTATTCAGGGGCCCTCCAAAACACATGCTAAACAAAGTCCCCTTTCGACAAAGACCGGGAAGTAACAAATATGCCTATCTACACTCTCTACATATACACATATGATGTATACCCCTAAGCCCTGAACCCAAACCCGGCGAAAGGCCATAGTCCAGCTTAAAGATCCAGGCGTGCTGGAGGCTGGGATGCTCCCCCTTATACTAACAGATCCTCAACAAGGATTGTAGCTTAGAATCCCTACTACAGGCTGTTAGTATAAGGGGGAACATCCCAACCCTAAACCCCAAATTGGCTTGGAGGCTGGGGTGTAGGAGCTGAAAGCGCGGGGCTCGAAAGTTCGGATTTAGGGTTTTAAGGTTCAGGTTTCAGGGCTTGAGGGTTTCAGGAATTCAGGGTTTGTGGGGCTTTAGGGGTTTTAGGGACAAGACTGCTAATTTTTCCAAGTTGGGTGACTCGGGGCAGCAAGGTAATTAATCACCTAAGCCCGGAAGCCCTCAAGCCATTCCTGGAAACCCTCTAGGGTCTGGGGTTTCGTTCCAATAATTACTTGCGTTCCTTATACTTGCCTTATAATCAAAAGCGGAACACTTTTTGACTTGTTTCCAAATGCGGTCTAGCTACCTCGAGCCCAAGAGTTTCGGGGCGTGGGGCTCCCTGCTCATTGAGGCTATACTACTATACTAAGTTATTACCATGTTACTGTGTTATTGTACAACTGTGTTGCTGTATTACTGTATTACTATATTACTATATATATATATATATATATATATATATTACTATACTACTATATTACAATATTACAATATTGCAAAATTACAATATTACAATATTACAATATTTCAATATTACAATATTACAATACTACAATATTACAATCTTACAATATTAAAATATTACAATATTACAGTATTACAATATTACTATATTTCTATGTTTTTGTATTCTTATATTACTATACTACTACATGAGGCTGTGGTGGCAACAGACATCATCTCTCAGATATGCTCTGCTCCCTGATTGGAGCGGAGTAGGCGGCCGACTCAGCCCTAAACCCCAAACCCGAATGACCCTACTTTGGAGTAGACCCTGGAACAAAAGTATATGCTATAACAGGAACCTAGAAGCAAAACCGGTATTAAAGTATACAACTCCAAAACCAGGTGATGAGTTGAAGTTGGAACTAGATGGCCGCAGAGAGCCAATGTCTAAAATGTCGGCGGGTCTGCTCCCATGTACCCTCGGGATGTTAGGGTTTAGGGTCTAGGGTCTAGGGTTTAGGGTTTAGGGTTTAGGGTTTGGGGTTTAGGGTTCCTACTGCAGCACTAAGTGTACTGCGCTGAACGGCCAAGCACATGTTGTTTCAGAGGATCTCATAAGCTTGTGTGTTGCAAGGGCGATCTTGTTTCAAAAGGCCTGTCTCAGGCCCGGAAATCAACGTTTCCAACCTTGGTGGGATCTGAACAATACATGTGCTGCTGAATCCTGAAGACATATCCAATGTAGCTGCGCATCTCCTTCAAGCCACGGCCTCGCGCAAACTGCTGCATAGCTTCAAGCACTTGGCTCTGTGGGGCCGCCTCATCCATCAAGAAGCCGTGCTTGCACAGTGTTTTGCGGACTTGGGTGTCACTGGGGGCAACACGCCATCGGCCACCAGTATCATGGGCCAAAAACGCGCGATGCAGCTTCTGCACTACGTCCGACACTGTGTCAGTAGGAGTAGGCAGAGCATCGCATCTTTTCCGAAGGGCCTGCTTGTTCTCTGGAAGGTTCACAAATGCGAGCAATGCCTCAGCCAAGTCGCAGCTCAAGTGGCCGTCCAGGTATCCCAGTCTGCGCAAAGCTTGTGCCACCATGTCTCTCGATGCCTTGATGGTGAACGGGCCTCCGCCCTTAAAAACTGCCCTTGCATGCATGGTGCCATACTCTTTGACCTTGATCCTGGTCTTGGCTGGAGCTTTTGTGGTGGGGAGGAAAAAAGCAATGTCGCCGCTGTACCTAGTCCATGATGCTTGAGAGACTTGAGAGCCTGCAGCTTGAAGCAGCTTGTGCAGTGATTCACATCCCAGCCCAGCCGGGTAGACCGTCAGTGGTCCCAGTCGGTGTGAGACCCAAAATTTTGCAATGCCCTGCACAAGCAAGCCGCGTTCCCCATGATAGCCCAGATCTTGCAAGAACTGCGTAAGATGCTCAGCCTCCTCTTCAATTGGGCTTTGCCAGGGCTCTGCCATCTCGACGCTCCCGCTTCCGTCTGGGTGAAGAATGGCTCTGACCTTGGGACCCTCCTCGCTTCGGCCTATGGGCACCACAGTAGCACTAGTTGCTCTGTACTTTCGAGCGGCATTGCCTCGAGACTGTGGGAGGAAGACGATCATGTCTTTGGAAGCCGCGACCTCCTCAACAATGTCCACAAAGTCAGTGTCGCTCGTGAGCAAGGCTACACACAGATCATCTGGTGACTGGGACAGTCGCACCAATCTAGATTCAATGGCAAGATCGGTGGCCTCTTTACCTCCGCGACGGGGCACAGGACAAAACTTAATTCGCCGCTCTCGAAGAAACGCATGCCACTGCTTGTTTTCCACTCTTCTTGGCTCTGCAAAAACCGTAGCAACGACACTGCGGCCCTGCCCCTGCAAGTGCTCAATGGCCTGCTCAATGAGCTCAATGCTACCCTGATCTCCATCCACCAGAAGTTGTGCCAGAGCCTTTGCACCAAGCCGCACACGGCTACGTCTCAAGCGTGAGAAACTTCGACCGTTCAGTCGACGGACCTCACTGCCACAAGATGTCTGCACGCGTGTAAATCTTGCACAATGCCAGATGGACACTTGAGAAGCAGCAGGCTTGCTACAGCATGCATAATTACTACGTCGAGATGAGACGCAGAACCCCTGTTTGAGCAATATGCGTCAAACATCAAATTCGCCCAAGTGGCGTGCCAGCAGACCCTGGCGACCGAGGCCAGGCAGGCCACCTCGACTGGCTTCCGGAGGTCCGACGAGACAGGCGGCTGAAGAAAGCGGTTGCCATGCCTGGGACTGCAAGCCCCTGGCAGCACATTGCGTGGGTTGTGCACACAGGGGCGGCTGAGCATCCCGACCAGCTAAAAGCAACGGCTGAGATGGGCAACCGTCCGAAACACACGATCAGCATGATGGCTCTGTGCTACCCCTAAACCCTAAACCCTAGACCCTAGACCCTAACCCCAGAGCTTTGGGCCATTTGGGCTTGAGGGCTTTGGGGTGGAAGCTCCAGACCCTGAAGCACGAACTCCCTAAAACCGAAGCTTGAACTCTGCGCCCTAAACCCGGGTTCAGGGTTTAGGGTTTAGGGTTTAGGGCTTAGGGTTTAGGGTTTAGGGTTTGGCGTTTAGGGTTTAGGGTTTGGTTCTCAAGCCTAAAACCTGACCCCCTAAACGGTGAAGGGCCCCCCTCCCTAAACCCTACTTTGGAGTAGACCCTGGAAAAAACATACGCTTTAGGTATAAGTAGCTATCATAGGAACACAGACCCAAAAACGGTACTAAAGTACACTACTCCAAAACCCAGAGCTACTCCCTAAACCCTAAACCCTATAACCCTATAACCCTAAACCCTATAACCCTCTAACCCTATAACCTAAACCCTAAACCCTAAACCCTAGAAACCCTAAACCCTAACCCCTAAACCCTAAACCCTAAACCCTAAACCCTAAACCCTAAACCCTAAACCCTAAACCCTAAACCCTAAACCCTAAACCCTAAACCCCCCCCCCCTCTCCCTAAAAGACCCCCCGCCCAGCAGCGCAGCCTCGGCGGCTCCTGCCGCGGCTTGTTCAGTGCCGCCAGGTTGGCCTGTCCCACAGAATAGGGTTTAGGGTTTAGGGTTTAGGCTTTAGGCTTTAGGGTTTAGGGTCACTACAGGGGCCTGGATAATGAGAATAGGGCTTTGGGGGGGGCTTTTTATTCGAGTAGAACTGTAGATGGACCACCAGGGAATGTTAGCAGTCAGTAACCCTAAACCCTAAACCCTAAACCCTAAACATTGCACGCGCAGCGCTTTGAGCGCTGGTGGCCTGAGCCTCGGGATGATCGTCTGCCAGGATGAACGTCTCCAAGAAACACGAAAGTGTTGTCAAGTGCCTCTAAGGGTTTTCCGCAAAAGTCTGGGTAGCATTCTTGGGGGGGGATCCCTTTAAGGGGATTCTATTCTGGTTGGGGTATAAGATGGAGATACCCCCTACACCCTAAACCCTAAACCCTGAGTTTCGGGAACCCCCCCCCCCCCCCATTTCTCATCTAGCGGCGAGGGGCAGCGGCCGGCCGCCTCTTGGGTTTAGGGTTTAGGGTTGAGGGTTTCGGGGGTTTGCGTTCGTCCGTGACGTTTCTTTAGGCATTGGGTCGAGTACTCCGCGCCTCTTGCACAGATGGGGCTTTACGAGATTAGGGGTACCTAGGGGTACCTTATTGGGGTCCATAAGGGGATCCTACCCTTTGAGGGTCTTGACGGTCCAGATTCGGGGTCCCTTTGTTTCCGTAAAGACCCAGATGAATCACATGCAACCGGCTTTGTGCCAGCAGAACAGGGCGTGAGTAAACCACGAACCACCATGAACCCCCAAAGACACTGGACCACCTCTATAGACCTAGTCTGCTATCCGAGGTCTAGGGTTTGCAGGGTTTAGGGGTTTAGGGTTTAGACTGTACCGGGAAGAAGTCGAGCTATATCGGCTGGTGAGTACTAAGACTCTGTCTTTCAGGAGGGAGGGAGGATTCAACCCTAACCCCAAAGCCTAAACCCCCTGAGCCCTAAACCCTAGACCCTAAACCCAAACCCTAAACCATAAACCCTAACGGACCTCGGTTTGCCGGAGCAACGCCTGGCACCGGGGGGCGGGAGAATAGCCTAAGCGCTGAATACCCTAGCCTAGGTTTAGGGTTTAGGGTTTAGGGTTGAGGGTTTAGGGTTTAGGATTTAGGCATAGTAGGATTCTCTTTAACCGAAAAGGTTCAAGGTTACCTACCCAATCCCTAAGGTAAGAGGGGCTGCTCGGGGTTTCGGGGTTTAGGGGCTTAGGGGTTTAGGGCTTTAAGGCTTGGGGCTTTGGAATTTGGAGGTTCAGGGGTTTGGGTTTGTTCTAGAGTTGGGTTTACCCTGGGGCACCAAATGGACCCAAGCAGGTCCTTTGTCAAGCCTCAAAGTAGGGTTTAGGGTTCAGGGTTAGCTTCATGGGCATCTGTAAAAAAGGGCGTAGAAGTACCCTATGTATAATCCGGCGTCTGGCTACTACCCTTCAAGTAGGGGTCTCGTGTTTGTCGTTCAGGGGATGAAGCGACTATTCTAGTGTTTAGGGTTCAGAATCTGGGGTTTAGGGTTTAGGGTTTGGGGTTTAGGGAGATTTTGGGCGCCTGTTTAACTTGAACGGGCATCTTGGGCAAGGAGTGGATCATGTTGGTAATTATCAGGGTTTAGGCTTTACAGTGTAGGGCAAGGAATGAAGAAGAGACTTTCGAGTTTGAACGGTGCCCTGTCCTTTTCTGAGAGCTGTTGGAGTTGTGCTGTTACCCTAAACCCTAAACCCTAAACCCTAAACCCTAAACCCTAAACCCCAAAGCCTAAAAGCCTCCAACCCTCAAGCCTCGAACCCTCAACCCTGAAGAGCCAACCCCAAAACCCTAATGTGAGTGTACCTTGGGGACCAAATGAACTCTAAAAGGGTTAGGGTTTTAGGGTTTAGGGTTTTAGGGTTCAGGGTTTTAGGGTTTTAGGCTTTAGGGTTATACCTTCCTAAGACACGTTGCAGCCTGCGAGGTCGCATTTGCACCGGCGCGATGTGCGGCCGCGGCTTGTCACCCACGCAAGTCCGATCGGGCTAGACGAAAGCATGGCCGTGCAGGGAGTGGAGCTTTCGTGCCCGACTTCGCCAGCTCAGCTATGTCCAAGCCCCGGAAAGCCGCGCTGGCGGTGAAGTCATGCTGCAGGCCTTCCCCGGCTGACTCAGCAGGTTCGTGTAGAGGGAATATGATCCCAATTGCGGTTCGTTTGATCCCTAGAAAACGGTGTGTTATATATGTGTGAGGCAGGATCCATAAGGTTGGATTTAAAGGATTTATAGTATTCACAACGGTAACGGTGAAACAAGACCGCAACTTGTTAATAACATTTATGGGGTCGTTAAGAAACATGCAGTAGATCAAGAGTTAGTTCGCTGGCGACTGTAGATTTAGGGACCTGTGCATACATTGTGTTCTCTCACTTCGTGCGCCAAAACCTTTGCAACTAGTGAATAGTGAAAAGAATAATTGAGAGAGCGCGAACACGTGCAACAAGCGAACGTAGTGAACCCGAGCTAAAAACCCAAAATGCCCGTTGCATTGCTTCCTTCCTATCTGTATCGGCCTTGTCCTGTGAGGGTTTAGTCCTCTTTTGCTTTCCCGTTCTCACTCCACCTAGGGGTGACTTCGTCTCTCCTGTATGCATGCTGGCAGCTACAGGGTGGGGCCCCCTTCCTATACTAACTGTAGTCAAGGGACTTATAACCTAACTTAGGGTCCTTATAACCCAATTTAGGGCCCTTATAACTCTACTTATAGCTAGGGGGCCCCACCCTGTACTTCAGACGGGCGCACTGTCTTATTTCGTTGGGCGACCCGTATGGGCTCAAAACCTCAAAATGCTATGTTTTGATTGTTTTTGGCGGCTGTGGCCCCTTCAAACGTCATGTATAACATCGCGGGCTAATAAACATGATGTGCCCGCCGAGGACTTTGCAAAGCCCCCAATAAATTTCTGTAAAATTGGTGCTCGCGGCGCTCGCGAGCTCGCGGTATTAAGAATACCAAGTCATCAGATTCACACAGGGTGGTCATTTGGCTCAATGGCCCACGAGGCGAAGCCAAGTGTGTCCATCGAAAAAATAAACTCAAAAACAAGTTTAAGCTAGATCAGGCAAACATATCTTGCGAATAGCAAGCATTTCAGGGACAACGCCCCCTAAACTCTAAACCCCCTCAGCCCTCCTCTCTAAACCAGATTAAAACCTCCTAAACCCCTTAAACCCTGAACCCTAAACTCCTAAACCCCTTAAGCCCCTTAAACCCCTTAAACCCCTTAAACCCCTAAACCCCTTAAACCCCTTAAACTCCTTAAACTCCTTAAACCCAATCCCTAAACCCTAAACCCCAAACCCTAAACCCTAAACCCCAAACCCTAAACCCTAAACCCCAAACCCCAAACCCTAAACCCCAAACCCCAAACCCTAAACCCTAAACCCTAAACCCCAAACCCCAAACCCCAAACCCTAAACCCTAAACCCTAAACCCCAAACCCTAAACCCTAAACCCCGCAACGATGCCGGCAGCGCGGCGATGGAGTTCACATCAAAGGATGTGCGCTGCATGGCTGCCTCCTCCTTGTGGGGGTTTGGGGTTTAGGGTTTAGGGTTTAGGGTTTAGGGTTTCGGGTTTCGGGGTTGCTTAGGGGCTTGTAGGGTTTCAAGCTCTCACTCCCCTCTTTGAAGGTTCGATCATGGGTAGCTGTATGTCGGGTTGTGAATGTATACCCTAAACAAGGTTTATGGGCTTCGGTTTCAGGGTTTCGGGTTGAAGGTTTAGGGATAGAGTCATCCTACTTATAGCCCTACTAAGATTACTCATAAACGTCCAAGTAAGCCCTAGAGCTATAAGTAAGGTCACTCTAGTTATAACTGGCTGCAACCTTATTTAGGGTCCTTATACCCTACTTATAGCTACCCAGGAACCTTCAAGTAAAGAACGGGCGCTGGAGTGAACCAAGAGTGCAGAGCGTTTGCCAGGTGAGAAGGGGGGGGGGGGTTTGGAGAGGTTTAGGGTTTAGAGTTTAGGGTTTATGGTTAAGGGTAGGAGGGGTTTGGAGAGGTCTGGACGACCTTCGTTCTAGGGTTTGGGGTCTTCAACGCTTAGTGGTTCAGCGTTTTTCTAGGATGAGCGTGTGGTGATTGAACAAGCAACGGTGCAGACTAGTCGCCAAGGAGCAGGCGAAGGACGAACGATCAGGCCGCTAAAGCTCGTAGATGGCTGGATGCTTAGCAATCGACCCTTGCTCTCAGTGATTTTGGGTACAGTTTGGGGCAATGACG